AGCAGCTAAGATACTGCACAGGACCCTCAAACCCCCAGGCCTCTGGTAGAGGACCCGAGATTGAGGAAGACACATACCACCCATAGGAGTGAGAGGGGATTTTATTTTTATTTTTTTTATAATATCCCTTATATAATCTGAATAACATCTTCTCACTCCTCTTCAGCAAATAAAAAGTACAAATAGTTGAATAATTATACTTCTATAAAAACGTATAAATAATAATAAACTTATATTTAACCGAAAGGTTTTGTGGAAATCCAATGTTTTTATATAATTTTCAACTATCTGCAGTCCATTTCAAAACAATTCAAAAAGGGTTTAGGAAAAAAAAATCCTGTTCCTCCTCAACATGGGATTCCTGTATACAGAATGGCTGTTGTAACAGCCTTTACAACCCAATACGTGCCAGTAAAGTCTAAAAAGCCTTCCATCTGATATGAACATCTGTCCAGAATAAGTAACATAAATAAAAAAACACCTTGCTGCTAATTCTGGAAGGGAAAGCATACTGAAAATATTGTTCGCTATCCTCTGAATTAAATAATGTTCCTAAATGGACAGTTCTTTCAAATTTCCAGTCTTTGATATATTAAAAAAAAAGTGGAATTGTTGTTTAATTCCATTTAACAAAAGCGCAGGATTATAGGAAAACAGTGAATTGAATAAAATGACTTAGGATAAATTGTCTACAGCTTTCATGTTCTTTTTTTCTTCTTTTTCTTTTTGGGTCATTTATTTCTTTGGCCCAGCTCCTCTTCTAAACTTTAATAAAAGGTATAATTTCAGCTAATTCATCCCTGCTATTTTAGAATATATTGTGTGCTATAGATAAAACTGCAATAATATGCAGACAGAGCCATTTCTTTTTTCAGAGTGAATATGACTAGAAAAAGTGGTTTTCGAAAGAAACCCTTTGCTCTTGTTTCTTTAAAGAATGGGCAGCCCCTGTGAAAGTGTGATTAATGTGAAAAATATTGATCCTTAAAATCACCGAAAAACAGCCAATCCTAACTCTTTTTGTAATTATAAAAATTATTTCTTATATTGAATCTTTTCCTATTGACTTCCTTTTGTAGAGAAAAAAAGTAAAAATTAATGCAATTGTTTATTTCCCTGAAAAGAATTGCTAAATAGAACCAGTGGCTAAACTCTGGCCTTCTTGAATCTTTGTTTATTTTTTCACTTTAAAATTATCTGGTTTCATTAGTGTTACTATGATGCCAGGATTGCAGACTTAAGCCGATTAAGGTTGACATAATGAATACTGAAAAGGCTTGGACATTATTCATGTATGTTTGTTTTTGGAACTTGGTTAAAGTATAAAGAATTTTTCTGCGCTCTGGCAAGACAAAGCCAGTTTTGGATTATGAAAACCACAAGTTTGTTATCATATGATATAATACTTTTTCCTCATCTAGATATTTGTCTTGCTGGGGGTGGGGGGAGGTTCTTCTGGACTTGCAACTGCTGCTTAAAAAGCAGGTGGCAGCTGTGGCCAGAAGGGCCTTTGCACAGGTTCATTTTGTGTGCCAGTTGTGCCCTTTTCTTGACCAGGAGGCCCTGCAGACAGTTACCTACGCCCTCGTCACCTCACAATTGGAGTATTGCAATGTGCTGTACATGGGGCTGCCCTTGAAAACCATTCAGACACAATTGATACAAAATGCAGTGGTACAAGCAGTAATGAACGTGCTCTGGGACTTTAGAATTCAAACAGACAAGCACCTGCCTCACAACACCCCAGACTTAACAATTCTTGATAAGAAAGACAAAAAAGTCTGGGTAGTGGACATTGCAGTACCTGGAGACAGCAGAAGAGAAGGGAAAGAACTGGAGAAAACCACAAAATACAAAGACCTGCAAATAGAAGCAGAACGACTATGGCAAAAGAGAGCAAAGGTAGTACCAATAGTTATAG